TGAAAAAAGGCATATCAGTATGTAATAAAGATGTACTAATATCAAAATTAATGATAAAAGCTTTATTAAAGCAATAATATATTTAATATAGGATTACCTCTATATATAAAAATAATATATGAAATTAATTTACATTAAATCCACCATGGAATCCAAGAATTACAGCACTATTCGAAGCATTCTAAAGAAAGCTCAAGGAGAGAAAATTGCTCCATATATTTTTAAAATGAATGATACCCAAATTCTCCAGAATTATTTAGATAAAGAAAAAATTACTTATAAAATTTACCAAGAAGAATGGAAAATTATAACTACTAAATGAGCATTAACACCAACACATGGTGAACCAAGAAAGAAAAGAAGACTGGCAGAATAAACAATTAAATCATTATTAATCATCATCCTCTTCATCATCATCTTCTTCTAGTTTAGCAGGAGAATTTCATCATTGAGCAAGGAGTTTTCTTTTCCAGATGACTCAACCAAGACTACTTAGTAATAAAAGAATTCTTCCTCCAGTTGCTTAAGCAGAAGGATTATTTCATCTTCAGAACACTTCTTGTTGCTGATCTTTAAAGAGCTTTTCATACTTCTTCTTAGCATGATTTTGCCCTCCTAACTTTTCAGCATAGTACTTAATGATTTCTTCTTCAGTAAATTCTTTCTCATCCCTATATTTAGATTTATCTAGTCTTTTATCATCATCTTTATAATCTTCCATTTCTTTTAGGATTTGTTCTTTAAGCTTATTATCTACTTTTAATTCTTGTAAAGCAATAGTATGAACTACTACTTCAGGATCACGAGTAAAGAATCAATCTAATCATTCTCGCTCTTTAGCTTGGTCATTAGGAAGATCATAAGTATCATCCATCAATTCAGGCTTTTTAGCTAGAGTTTTTTTACAGTATTTAACCAATTCAGCTTTATTGATTTTACTGCTTGCTCCATTAACTTTATCAGCAATATTTTTAATTTCATTAGTGTTGGTTTTAAAATCAACATTTTTGGAATAAGCAATTCATTTTCTTGTTAGATCACTAAATACATTAGTTTTGACTCCTAAAGCTCCTTTTAGTTTCATTAGAAGAATTCTTCTTTTAGGAGGAGGAACTTCACTATTCTCAATATAGTAAGTAAGTTGATCTAACTCATTTTGTTCTACTGAATCTAATTCCCGCTCTACTGATTCCAAAGAATCTTTTATACTTTGCAAATAATTTTTTACAACTTCATCATTAAAGAATTTGCTATCTTTTTTTTTTCAATTCTCTAACCTTTCAGTAAAGTGATTTCCATGTGCTACTCAATGATTATATTTAGCTAATTTACCTTGATTAGCAGTTTCCTCCACATCTAATTTAGCTAATTCAGCATCAGGATCAAAAGTAGCATCAGTTTTTAAAGCTTCTCACTTTTTAATCCACCCCAAAATATTACGCATAAATAACAACTCTCGATAACTTTTCATTCCTGGTTTATCTCGTAGTGTTTTAAATTGAGTAATTAAGCCACTTACTCTACCTTTTTTAGCTTTATCTCTTAACTTTTCTATTGCTTCTTTTTCAGTATTAATTTTACCTTTTTGAGAATTAATTTCAGCTAGTTCACTATACTTTGCACCTAATTTAACCTTTGTTGCATTTAAAGCTTCTCTTTTAGTAGAAGTAATTCTTATTCATTCATTTCATTTATTGATTGTACTATTTTCATTTGTCACATCATCATCAAATTTGTCAACTACTTCATTTCTTGGATATGCCTCTATTAATTTAATAGTATAAGAAGGAAAAATAGAAATTTTGTCTTTTATGTCTTCATATTTCAAATTTTTTGCTCTTCTGGAGAAAGTTGAAAAAGTTTTATTTTTAAAAGTTGATAAAATTTCTCGAGCAATAACCCTTCACTCACCTTGAAGACTTTCTAATTCTCCTTTTTGAAAGATAGGAGTAGTAGTACCTGCCTCTGTTAAACCTTTAAGTAAATTTTCAACATATTTTTCATATTTATCAACTAAAATACTACTATTAGCAAGTAAAGAATATTTAAGA